AGCCCCCTGCCGTGCCCCCAAAAAAAGCCGCCCGAGCCCCCACGAGCCCCCGCGAGCCACGTCCGAGCCACGTCCGAGCCCTCTGCCGAATCCCCCAAAAAGGCCCCAAACCACCGCGACCCCCCTCCCGAATCACATCCCAATCTCACAACGGCAAAATCTCTCGTCAGGCCAGAGGCGGTGATCGTTGGGGCCGCTAGGCCCAAAGGACTCCAGTCACCCCTCTGTGCACGCAAGCAAAGACAAGTTTACACTAAGTCTTTTGTTGCATCTCGGCTCGATTTTTCTCTGCTGCTCTGCAATCCAAGAAAGGCAGCTGCACGGGATGCTCTGCCTGCTCTGCAAAAGAAAGGCAGCTGGACGGGCTGGGCTGTTGTGAACAGACCACGGAGAGAAGGAAGCAGACTGACTGCGACAACACCTTTTGCCCGCTTGGAGCTGAGCACCTCTCTTCTTGCTTATGCCTTTGCTGTCTCAATGTGTCTCAAGGGCACGACAGCATCTGCCACCACTGTGGGGAGAAGCACAGCAGCACAACCCGGCTAAACCCTAAACCCCCACCCTACTCTAAACCACCCTAGAACCTAACCTGAACTTGGAAGCCTTTTCGACTTAGTATGTAAGGTAAGTAAGGTGTTTTATGGGGACTATAATAGGGTTTCTAAGGGATACTAAGTACACATACTAAGTCAATAGAGCTTCCAAGAACCTTACTCTAACATACATCCATACATCCCACCCCCTAGATGCCCAGTATCCCAAAGTCCCAAACCCTCAGGGCTCACTAGTAATGCCAAGTCCTGGGAATCCAGAGCGGCAGTGCTCCTGCGTCATGGCTGGCCTCTGACAGCGGTGCTTGGGATCTGGAACTGGGGAGAAGTTCCGTGGACAATGAGTCTTTGTTGCCGCCAAAATGTCAAGCGGCGCCCACAAGGTATCACCTGGAACCCTTGCCTTGAAGTCTAAACCTTTCATTACCTCGCCACCCAATTGCGGCTCTCCAGCAAACTTTCGCAGAAGTCTGGGAGCAGTCGCGTCACACACGACTGGCTGCAAGGGTGGCTCTGGAGGTCTTTGCAGGCAATGAAACGGGCGTTGGGGGCCATTCTGCAGGCCAAGACAAGGTTGCACGAGGCCTTTAAACCTATATCTTAATACCCAAACCCATTAACCGTACACCCTAACCCGAACTTGGAAGCCCTTTCGACTTTGTACGTCGGGTTAATAAGGTGTGTTATGGGTATTACAATAGGGTTTCTCGAGAACACTACGTGGACGTACGAAGTCAAAAGAGCTTCCAAGAACCTTACTCTGGCATAAACCCCACCCCTAAACCCCCATTACCGCAGAGCCACGTGTGCACCTGGGAATCCAGACTGGCAGCGCTCCTCCGTCGTTGCTTGCCTGCAGCACCACTCTGACAGCCTCTGACAACGGTGCTTGGGATTTGGACTGGAACTGGGGACAGTAGTCAGTAGTTTGGAAAGTTTCGTGCCGTCAAAATGTCAAGCGGCGCCCACAAGGTATCACCTGGAACCCTTGCCTTGAAGTCTAAACCTTTCATTACCTCGCCACCCAATTGCGGCTCTCCAGCAAACTTTCGCAGAAGTCTGGGAGCAGTCGCGTCACACACGACTGGCTGCAAGGGTGGCTCTGGAGGTCTTTGCAGGCAATGAAACGGGCGTTGGGGGCCATTCTGCAGGCCAAGACAAGGTTGCACGAGGCCTTTAAACCTATATCTTAATACCCAAACCCATTAACCGTACACCCTAACCCGAACTTGGAAGCCCTTTCGACTTTGTACGTCGGGTTAATAAGGTGTGTTATGGGTATTACAATAGGGTTTCTCGAGAACACTACGTGGACGTACGAAGTCAAAAGAGCTTCCAAGAACCTTACTCTGGCATAAACCCCACCCCTAAACCCCCATTACCGCAGAGCCACGTGTGCACCTGGGAATCCAGACTGGCAGCGCTCCTCCGTCGTTGCTTGCCTGCAGCACCACTCTGACAGCCTCTGACAACGGTGCTTGGGATTTGGACTGGAACTGGGGACAGTAGTCAGTAGTTTGGAAAGTTTCGTGCCGTCAAAATGTCAAGCGGCGCCCACAAGGTATCACCTGGAACCCTTGCCTTGAAGTCTAAACCTTTCATTACCTCGCCACCCAATTGCGGCTCTCCAGCAAATTTTCGAAGAAGTCTGGCAGTCGCCTCACTCACGACTGGCTGCAAGGGTGGCTCTGGGAGGTCTTTGCAGAAAGGTCAGGCAAGCAGTCGCGTCACTTGGCATAAGCGCGCTGGGGCCATTCTGCAGGCCGAGAGAAGGTTGCACGAGGCCGCAAAACCTGTATCAAAATACCCAAACCCACAACCCGCAGCTAAACCCTAAACCCCCACTCTATTCTAAACCCCTCAACCCAAACACCTAGCCTAAACCCTAAACCCTAAACCCTAAACCCTAAACCCTAAACCCTAAACCCTAACCCTAGACCCTGAACGTAAAACCCTAAACCCTAAACCCTAAACCCTAAACCCTAAACCCTAGACCCTAGACCCTAGACCCTAGACCCTAGACCCCAGACCCCAGACCCCAGACTCAGACCCTAAACCCCAAACCCTAAACCCTAAAGCCTAAACCCTAAACCCCAAGATATTTAGGGTTTAGGGTTTGGGGTTTAGGGTTTAGGGTTGAGGGACATGCTACCTAACTATATCAAATCAAGAGGGCCTCTTGGAGCCTTGGCAAATTCTCGTCAAAACGCAGTGGCTCCAAAACGTGCTGCGTTCGTTCTTATGGAGGTATGGGAAGCAGTCGTATGACACACGACTGGCTGCAGCGTGAAGCCTGGAGCAACGTCAGTCGGAAGAGAGGCTGTCAGAAGAGCCGGAACTGGCGGAGTTGGAGGAGTTGGAGTTGGAGTGGCTGGAAGAGCTGGAAGAGCTGGAAGAGCTGGAGGGCGACTCCCCGGGTGAAGCACCTGCGGCATCTTCACCAGCACTGTTTGGCGCCTCGCCCGCCTCATCATCAGCATCATCATCCGGGACTGCACGTGACTTTGCTTCTGCCTTGGCCTTGGGGTGGCCTTTGGCTTTCGCCTTAGCCTTAGCTTTAGACTTGGGCTTGGGCTTGGGTTTGGGCTTGGGCTTTGTTTTGGCTTTGGGGGCACCTCTGCCGCGCCTTTCAGGGGCGCGTGCTTCCCTTTCCTGCTCTGCTTCGATTTCCTCATCGGTGCGCACGACTGCAGGGGGAGGCTGCAAACGTGCAAGTCTGCTGTTCAAAGCTTCTAGCGGTAGCACGTCGTCTGGAGACACGGCCACGGCACTATGCGCTTTCTTTGTTGCATGCAGGGGCGCCTGCAAACACCACATCATGAGCAATCGCTTGCAATGATCTTTGGCGTCAGACACACCACCCACTTGCACAGACCTTTTGCAGCCTGTGAATTTGCTTTTGGCATGGTATCGGCATGTGGCTTGCCAGCAGCCATGAGGGGGCCGCTTGGTTGCGTTCACAAAAGTCAAGCGAAAATTTGGGCCCCAATTGAAAGAGTCTGCCTGAACAGACCTGTCAAACATTGAAGGCCCTGCCGCCTGTGACTCTGGCCTTGATCTTGCTTTTGATGAAGAGGCTGATTCTACGGCTCTGCCTGGTGTCCCTAGAGGATGGTCACCTGGCCCGGGCCCCGCAACCCTAGAACTTTCACCATGACCATGACATTCGGCGTGGACATCAGAGCTACTCGCAGCAACAGGGCCTCTCGCTTCTACTTCCATTCCGCTGCTTTCTGGAACCGCAGATGGTGACGCAGTCACAACCGCTGCCTCTACGTCTGAGTTATTAACGGATGGAACGTAGTCGCTCATACTGATGCTTGCAGAGTCAAGAGCTACTCCGCACCCGTCATCTTCGTCGCTTGTGTGAGGCTCAGGCTCCTCCCCTGCTTTTTCAAAAAAATCTAACAACTCTTGAATGTCCGGGTCCACACGCTCTTCAGGCGGTCCAGGCTGCTCACGTTCTGACTTCAAACCTCGGCCTCGCCTGGGCACGGATTTTTGAAGTGCAGGGGTTCCTGTTCCAGGGTCTGGGGACACATCTAACGATAACTGCGGGGCTGCATCTTCGAGGTCCTGAATGCTGAAATTTGCTAGTGTTCCATCTGACCTACGATCCAAAACCTTCTCGTAGTATTTGGTCGGCTGGCAATGATGAAGCTCTGCAAGCGACAAGCTGTCAAAGAGTTCTTTTATTTTCGGTATACTTGGGAAGGCACACCAGAGTTTAGATCGCCAAGTTGTCGATCAACTAAAAACACGGAAGCAAAAAGATAAAACATCACATCCCCCAGCAAAAGAGTGAGAGACAAGAACATGAAATGAAAGCATGCAATCACTCGGACAACCCTTCTCTTTTTACACAGACGGGGGCGTGGCACGGTGAAGAGTGCTTGCATATAGCAAGAGAAAGTGGGCACTCCCAAAATCTCTGCTGCCAGAGAGCGCAGTCGCTCGAGTTGCCACCTACACCCCCAATCAGGGAGGGCGGGCGGGACAAAATTTTGATCCTCTGAGCTGCACACAGCCACACTGCGACGGAGAGATCAAAATTCACATGGTGAACAAATCAATCATGTTCATGAAAATTCATGCACCCATGAATTGCAAAAGTATAAAATGAAAATAAGGTGCTGTCTCGCTTGCGAGAAGGCGCTCTTATTTTCGGTATACTTGGGAAGGCACACCAGAGTTTAGATCGCCAAGTTGTCGATCAACTAAAAACACGGAAGCAAAAAGATAAAACATCACATCCCCCAGCAAAAGAGTGAGAGACAAGAACATGAAATGAAAGCATGCAATCACTCGGACAACCCTTCTCTTTTTACACAGACGGGGGCGTGGCACGGTAAAGAGTGCTTGCATATAGCAAGAGAAAGTGGGCACTCCCAAAATCTCTGCTGCCAGAGAGCGCAGTCGCTCGAGTTGCCACCTACACCCCCATCCAGGCTACGAGAGCATACTGCAGACTCGACCCCTCAAGCTAAGGTACGCGCGCCGCACCTGATCGCAGGGCAGCTTGAAGGTTTCGGGTAAGGCATCGCAGGACATACTGCGTGAAGGCGGATCGGCAATGTTGGATGCTGAGGGAACACGACAGAACCAAGGCATGATCATGTCGGTCTCACAAACAGTCGCACACACGTGGCAAATCCTGGTGACTGACATGGATTTGGAGTAACCCTTGACCAAGGCGAACTTGGCACCTTCGTTGTCATTGAAAGCTACCACGTTGGTGCTCCGTAGATGGCCCCTCCATAGCTGGATGCCAAGTAAGGTCGCCATTGTCTCGAGTTCGCCAATCCCGGTGCGGGCTGTGTGGGAAATGAGAGGCTGGATGTCATCGGCTGACAAAGGAAGGCAATACCACGACTTCACCGAACCTAGGGAAGACACCAGCACCCCGCCTAAACCACCATCACCAGCGTCGTGGAAACATGCATCGGTAAAAAGGAACCACGTGTCCTTGGCAGTTGGTAACACACGCCGGGGAGAGCCCTCAACGATTCTTTGTCTCAAGTACTTCAGAGCGCGGCTCAAGTCATCAGCAATGCGCGTCTTGAAAGGAATCGCATGGGTATGCGCAGACAGCAACTTCAGAGCAAATTTCCCCGAGTGACCGAGGACCTGTGCATCAGCGAAGGCCAGCTTGCCGCGCATCTCGAGCGATTGAGAATGATTGAGGGTCCCCCTTGCAAGTGCTTCGCTAACTAGGCTGTCTAGAGCATCTTTCCTTCTGAGGGTATTGTCCACGATGACCACACCGGAACATGTCTCGGAAAGATCAAAGGCCACTCCGAGGGCTTCAACCCGGTCACTAAAAACGTCAGCCTTTGGACCGACCTCATCATACTGCCAGCCCAATAGGCGAAACAGCATCGCCATGGTCGTGTCGGTGTTGGCAGCAAGAGTGCATGTTGACGCAGATATGAAGTCGTCGTAATAGGACGTCAGCGGCACAAGCAAGCACCGGAGTGCGATCCACTGGATGCACCTCGAGCACCTAATGAAACCATTGACTGATGCACGCGACCCAAATGGTAGGCAAGGCTGGCGAAATAGGTATGATTTCCCATCCTTTGGGCAGAACACTGCCACTATGGCAAAACGTGACGACTCCCTCGACACACATAGCTGTCGATATGCGGATGTCAAGTCGTAAGACCTACCTAGGAGAGCACCAGACCTCCCCTTGCGCAACAAGCCGTTCGAGAGTTTGCTGAACATGGCGGCTGCCACGTCGGCAGTGTCCACGGTTGGCTGCTCAAGTGTGGTTACGCAACTATTGACACCAGATCGAGAGTAGTCGTCGATCGGGCGCACTTTGCCATTCTGCAACAAAGGAAAGCGGGGTGATGCTATCTCCCCCGGGCCTAAGTCAGACCACTCGAGCGGTCCCTGCAACCATCCTTGTTCGACCTCCAGCAGGGTCTTCTCCCAAAGCTTCTCATCGAGCTCCAGATCGCCACAAGAACGCAAACTTGCACGCAAGGCATCATTGGCACGACACGCATTGGCGCTAAGGGCCTCAGGCTCAAGAGAAGCAGGGGTGACCTTGCCAGGCAGCACACCAGAAGGCGGCGCCACTCCCACTAAGTCAAAACCATGGTGCATGTCCCTAGCTAGTGTGCAATCGCCGTAACCCTCCGATAAAAGGATCTCATCAAGCAGCTGCAGCCTCTTTCGTCCAAGGATAGCGCGCATTGCAGGATCTTGGATGTGCCAATCAGGATCGGGGTTCTCCTGGATGGCCTTGGCACGAGCCGTCCAATGCGCAAGCCATGCCGCACGCTTAGTGACAACTGAAGCCTCAGGCATGACAAGCAACGCATCGATACACTCCTCCATGGCTTGGGGCAAGCTACCATAGAGGCTCCTCGGATGCCCCACCTGCACGGCCTTGCGGACGAACTCGGCTTCAGAGTGGTAAACACCGAAGGTGTACAAGTGGGTATCGCATGCAGCCGCAGAAGCACAAGGTAGCTTAGAGTGCACGGGACCAGAGTCGGCGACATTTTCCAAGCGTTGCTCGACAGGTGCATCGTGGACTGGAGGCACAGTAGGAGACGGCGTGTCGACCCACGGCAACGGAAAGCCTAAGCTAAGCAGATAACGAACCTCTTTGGCACTGAGGGCACAACCTCTTTGCGGTGTGTAGCCAATAACCACGACTCTTTGTCCATGCCACGGCATGACGCAATGAAACTTTCTCGCATCAAAGCGCACCGGGGCTCTTGCAATGTCGTGCAACACCCCCGGCAGCTTACCTGATGGCGTGTGCTTGTGAACTTTGCCCGCCGGGTCGTGAGCCCACACAAACCCTTCCGAAAAGTCCGAAAGTGCAACCCCATAGTTGAGTGTACCCTCTTGATTGCACATATCTTTGTGCATGCCCTGTAACATATCGCAAAAGATAGCAACGCATGAAAACCTGGCATCGGGGATCTGATGCCTGAGGAACCGGACCAGTGCTCGGGTGAACACAGGGAACATGGAAGCATTCTTTCGGACGCCGACACAGCCTCCCATGGCATAAGCACCTGATGACCAAGATTTTTCGCTCGCGCGAATCCCGGCCATGCGTTTAGAAGGGTCAGCATCATGCAAAGCAAATATGCTCAAGAGCTCCTCCCGTGTGGGCACATCGCCCAAACGGCTGGCAGCCAGCTCAGCTTCATGCGAGAAAACATCCTGATTTGTGTCCACACACGATGCAGCACTCACCTTCTGTGGGTTAGGGCGCCCGGTCTCAGAACTCGTGACCATGGGCAGCTTAGAGAGCTTAGGGGAAAAGGAGTGGGCCGCAGACGTCGAGGCCGTAGTTAACTTAGGGTGAGGAAGGGAAGGTCCACAGAAGGGAGAATCGGATCCCCCCACTGCTGCACTTGCTCCTTGGCCATCCTTCCCCCGTTGAGAACCAGGGAGTAAGTGCTTGGATCCTGCAGGCACGCACACGTCACCCACGACCAGCTCGTGCTTCAGTTTGCCGTCCTGAAGAGGGGGCAGCTCCGGGAGGCGAACATTGGCAATGCACTTAAACTCAGGCACCAGGCAAAGGTGCGAACGTCGGGGCTGCAAGCCGGCAGCCACCTGTGCCAAATGCAAGGGAGCGGGGCCGGGAGCGAGGGGCGGGAACCGCAAGAACCCGAGAATGGCAGTCCCCACAGCATCATAAAAGGCAGCAACAGCCTCTGGAGGCACACGATTGGTGGTTGTGGCAGTGGACACATGCACATGCTGACATGGAATAGCCAAATGACGGAATGCTTCCGGATGACGAGTGGCCAACCTGACAGGCGAGCGGTGCATATGGCCAAACTGGCACATGTTGACAGTAAGGGACGGCAGGGAGCTGGCCCACTCATCTTGCCAAAACAGAGATCGCTCACGACACTCAAGGGACCAAGGGGTAGAGGTGTCGTCGCAGTGTTTAATGAGTTGGCGGGTCAAAGACAACACAGCGGAAGCATCATCACCCAAAGGGCTTAAGTGGGCTTTGTGTGCAATCGGGAAGACAGTAGATGGACACCGAATGTGCACCCACAAGCACAGTTCCTCACGTGCCCATGAGGCACACAGCGCAAGCCCTGCAGGGCTCAAGAGATCGGCATGAACGATGGGGGCACGTGATGTGGCAGAACACCCGTAACCCACCCCAAAGGAACAAGGCAAAGCACGACGCACTGCAGCCGTGAATTGGGCATGTTTAGCAAAGACCTCAAGGCAAAAACCTCGCGGAGTCTCGCCCACACATTGCGTGACGGGTTTAACAAGCCGAGGCACCTGGCTTTGCACACCAAAATCAGCAGGCAACGAAGCACGGTCAACGGCAGAACAAGGAAAATTGACATCATCTGTGGACGATGTAGGAACAGCGACAGCCACAAGGTCGCCTGTGCACAGGTCTGCTGATAGTCACTCAGCAGAAGTAGCAACGTCAGCAGCTTCATTGGCTTTCGGGCACTGGGAGAAGGGGTGCTTGCCATAGCAATTGGGTCTGCAACACACATGCTCGAACTTGCAGGCTTTGCCCTTTTTGCACTTGCCCAAGTTATAGTTGAAACAAATCGGCTTATTCTTGGGAGTCCTGCTATGGCAACCCTGAAGCTCCTTGGGCACGGGATCGCGAGTGGTCTTGGCCTTCTTCTTGTCGCCACCTTCATCGCCATCGCCCGAATGCTTGCGCTTGTCTCCCTTGCCTTTGCCTTTGCCCTTGCCCTTCTCCGGTGTCGGCAGCAAGAAGTACATGATCTCAGTGTTGCCCGGCAAATTGCGAAACTCTGCATCCAGTGGCAGCGAGCCATCGGCGAGGGCTTTCAGCCCTCCATTGGCTCTACGGGCCAGCTCGACGAAGACTTGGCGATCCGCACGAAGGACCTGGGCACGAGAGACCCGGGAGAAGTTTGGAGGTGGATCCTGGTTCATCACATCGAACAGACGCTCGATCCACTTCTGCATCACATCAAAGCTGGCGAGGCCCACGAGATCCATGGCCAAGGCGCGCCTCATGAAACTCAGGTAAAGCTCGTGATCTGAGGTGATGTTCATTGTATTGGTGATTTCCTCATCCTTCACGATGAGGCCCGACTTGCTTGCATCCAGCTGCACAGACTTCGGTGCCTTGCTGCCGGCCAACTCCTGATCCCGGGTGATGCATTCATCAGGTGGGACAAAGCGAAGCTCTTCGGTCTCTCTCATGTGAGCAAAACGATCGTAGAGGCTGTGCGCACATTGCCATGCACCTTTGGCCAGAGGCAGTCCCTTCAAGCGAGCTGCTTGCTGCTCTATCCGCAGAGCACGTTCTGCAGCCGGCAGCTTGCGTGGAGCATCTTCACCAACCTGCACCGAACTCCGAAGCTCGGCGATGCAAAGTGTCTGAGCTTCAAAGACCAAGCGCTTAAGTGCTGCATTGTCGCCCAAAGAGAGAGCGACACCTGGTCGAAGTTTGCCAGCAAAGTCCTCGATGTTGGTGTCAGTCGCGGGCGTGCCTGGTAAGCTGACTGCATAGGAGACCTTGGACAAGGTGTCAACTTGCGCAGCGATCATCGCCTTGGTCCATTCATCAGAGAGGCCGACCTTTTCACATTGCTTCTCCAAAGCAGGCGTCGATGCCAACACGGAAGTGGCCGCCATGTTGCTGTCTTGAGGCAAAATGCCTTATGAAGATGCACGCTGAGCAAGCAGTCCAATCCAGGTGGTTTGTATCAGTTCATAACAGGCAGCACAAGTGTAATGCGTTCCTAAACCAAATCCCCAAACATCACTGTCAAGACTCGGCTGCACACCACCACACGCGAGTGCACTCAAAGTGGACGGCATATATCAAATCCAAGCACGATCAAATGCAAGCGACTCGCACACGAGTTTCTTTAGCTGCGTTCAGCCACGTTCAGAAAACAAAATTGCATCGGCTCCCCTCGTTCCACACCATCATGTGGATGCTCTGGGTGCGCTCAGCGCGTCTAAGGCAGCCACCATACCGCCTTTCGACGTGATCAGTTCACCACGAAAACATGTCGAGCAGCGTGTCCATTTCGACACAGAGCCCTCAGGAAGATACAGGTAGGCATTCCCACCCGTTCTACGCGAGCACTTGGTCATCTCCGAGCCTTGCACCGCCTTGTGCAGCATCTTTGAACCTCTGTGCTGCCATAACGGGCCCGGCGCATCAAAACTTTGGGCAGCTCCGGCATTCCGAAGGATGCCCTCCTCGGCAATCGATTGCCCTGAGGACGCGTTGCTGTCACTTGAGCTACTGCTATCTGACTCATCGCTACTTGCATCCCCTGCATCGCGCTCAGACTCAACACCGGGCAGGGCAGTGTTGTCAGGCAAGGCACCCCCCCAGGAGGGAGGGGATGTCTCATCAACGTCATCATCAGCATGATCCCGAACTCCACCTTCCATAAACTCGCCAGGTGCATCCTGTGCAAGAAGCGGGCTCTCCGGAAACTCCTGTGGGGAGCGAGGGGCGCACGCACCTGCATCTGGGCCCAACATATCGCTGGGAGACACGGCAGGTTCACTAGCAAGGATCCCACGTCGCTTCGGGTTATCAAAACGAAAGTCTGCATGTGAAGGTGCAAAAGCGGCGCAGTCGGACAACCAACCCGACCTGGAGGCATCTGGTTTGAACACCCCTGCTTTGATTTCCTTCAGCATGGCGACATAGGAGCGCAGCGGTGCGCTGAGAAGTTCACGTGAGTAGACCGCACGCGATTTGGACCCAGTGACATGGTGACCCAACATCAAACAATCGAACTCGGGCAAACCCCTCTTGCCACACCAGTTCAGAGTGGTGACCTTGAGGGAGTGTGATGATACCCCTGAAGAAGCATCCACTTCCAAGGCACTCCGTAGGATGGCTGACGCCTCTGCGCTGCTGCATTTCCGCTTAGAGACCCCTGAAAAACCCGGAACCCTCACCAAAGGTCCTAAGGGGGATGCATCCCACGGAAACCCAAGTGCGACGCCTGCTTGGTACCATGCACTGGCCCAGTCATGGCCTGACAAGCTGAACATGGGGGCAACCAGTGGCATGGCACGCTTGGCAGCTTTCTTGCAATTCCTAGTCTTGTGATGGGAGGTCTGTGCTTCAATAAAACCTTCAGTAGGAGCCCCACATCCGTCAAACAAGATAAAATCAAGCAAGCGATGATCGGACCACCTCGATCTAGAGTATAGCGTGAAAAGCATCCCGCCCAAAAGGAACTTGTCTTGCACACAAGTCTCGCTGGAGGTCGTTCGAATTTCAAGTTGGATGACTTGCTCAACACGCAATGCTGTGGCTTGCTTCAGGGGACCACTATCAGCAATCAGCCTCTTCGCCCTGCCCTGAAGGCGCCTGTCGCTCAAGATCTCAGCACTAAAGGGGATGTCGACCACATGATGCGCAAAATTGATGGCCTGAAACAGAGTAGCAGTGGCACTTGCATACCCTTTAGTACCCTTTAGTGACTCGATATAACACGAAAGAGACTTGATGCTCCAGGGCCACGGGGACTTGCCTTGCTCTACATGCCACCGGAAACAACGCAACAAGTCATTGGCTCTCTTTGACGCTGTTCTCGGAGCCTTCAACCCCAAGACATCACGGATGATATCTTCCCGAGCAGTGCCGTCCTCGGACCAGAAGCTGTCCTGAAGCATGGCACCTGTGCTTCCCTGGTGCTCGCACAAAATGAACACAGTAACCCACTTGCTCAAAGCGATGTTCCACAAATGCTCATCACTGTCAGCATTTTCATCTCTGGAGGCTTTAGCAGAACACTCATGAAACAAATGCGCATGCTTGCGTTTCCCAGAAGCACTCTGCACGGGCGCAGGTTCCGGCGGAGGGGAGGCAACCCCAGGTATGGGCACAAGAGAAGGTTGCCTCAGCACTGGTGGAGACAACACACCGGCCATTCCCTCACCAAAGATGGCCTTGAACGATCCGGTTTCCCAAGGGAATTTAGGCATGTTGTCAGGAATTGCAGCAAGCTGTGCCTCCACAAGCAACCTGTCGATGTCAAAGCAGCTAACCTCCCCCCCTTGAGAAGCTGATGCAGACATGGGCGGTGCGGAACTTGAGCCGGGCGCGGACATCAGACGGCACTCTGATCAAGCAGACAGCTGCAAAAGCTGTCGGGTGCACGCGTGGATCCTGTGGCCACTGCAAGCCAAACGGAACCAAGCCTGGGGATTAAGGCACAAGAAAACCCTGGAGCCCTCCGCAGTTGACAACAGAACCCCGGAAAAGGAGCTCTCGAGCACGTAACTGAAAAGGTCAGGGGGCGCAGCCACTCGGCGCTCAAGCAGGTCAAGATGGAAGCAGCGAGGCCGGATGAGGACTGGTCGAAATGCAGCACGCTGAGGCAGAGGCGGCCAATCCCAGCTGATGCTCGAATCGCTCGAAGACGAGCTGGTGTCCATCCGCTGAGACCACCCGGGGTCTCAGCTTGCACGACCCCTAGAGGGAAGACCCTTAGCGCCCAGGACCTCTAGAGCAGCGGCACCCTTACGAGATTAGCGGAGCCCCAAACACACAAAATTTTGATCCTCTGAGCTGCACACAGCCACACTGCGACGGAGAGATCAAAATTCACATGGTGAACAAATCAATCATGTTCATGAAAATTCATGCACCCATGAATTGCAAAAGTATAAAATGAAAATAAGGTGCTGTCTCGCTTGCGAGAAGGCGCTCTTGATTGTAGCAAGGCAAGCATGTATGGCTTACTTCTTTGCAAGGTAACCCCCCGGACGTACCACAGCAACTCCCCCCGGGCCAATGCATCTGGCGTGTGTGCTGGCAGAGGCGATCGCTTCAGTACACTGCTTGAGGCGCCTGCCGCAACTGCCACCCACAATGCTGCAACAGACAGAGCAGCTCCCATGTTGTGCAGGAAGGCCACTCCGTCGCAGGGATGTCTGCAAGCTCGGCCGGCGACTTGAAAAACCGAGCAGGGGCTGTGCACTTACGCACGTGTCGCAGGCTGTTTGCACCCAACTGCGTAAACGCATAATGTTGATCCCCCTCGGCCTCCCTCAGTAAGCACGCCATTCCCAACTCTGTCAAAGTGCGGAGACATTGCAAACGTGCAGCCTCTGAGGCACGCACGACCAAATGACCGCGAACCTCCGACTCGGATATCGAAAATGCTCGGGCAAGGACCATGTCATTCAAAAGTTCCAGCATGTCACGCGACATGACGCTTGCACAGTTCGCCAATGTGAAGGATAAGTCTTTTGCCGACGACCAGCCGAGCATTCTCTCACGAAGAGCTGTCATGTCAGAGCGAAAAACAGACATGACACCTACAGCCTCATTGGTGAAGCCACCCGCAGTCTGTGCAGTGGCTGGCTCAACCTCTACAAAGTGACTGGCTCCCCGGTCCCCTCCTGAAACTTCAACACATCGATGAAGAGTGACGCAGAAATCATGCTGAGAAAGCCGGCGGGCTGCGGCTGCGGGCAGGCGAACCAACTTGTGTCTGCTAGGTCTGGCGCACGTCAAGCGAAAGAAAACTTCATGTTGGTTGTCAACAGGCTGCCGTGGCCCTTGCCCCGGCCCGTCAACTATCTGCGCGTCGCCCTCTTGCAATGCCCCGTTTCCAAGGGACGGGAATTCGAAAACATCGGAACTCAACGTCATCATGTCTTCCTGCCCGTTCTGCAACGCCTGCTGGCCTGATGCACGCCGGGGTTGCAGCGGCGGCGGCTGCAAGTGAAAAGGTTGAAGACTACTTTGCAAGGAGCTTATTGCCGCAGCACTGGCGGGCACACTATAGAGCCGACCAATTTGCAATTCAGACTGCAAATGGTCTGCCATGGCGGCCTCCTCCAAGGACTCGAAACAAAATCTACGTTTCGTTTCGAACTGTGCCTTCCAGTCATCATGCACCTTCTGTCTCTCTCTCTCTCGCTTTTCACGGGCTTTCTTGACAGCTTGCATCTTGCTGAATTGCGATTCAAAGTCCATAGAGTACATGAGCAAACCTGCAAGAATGATTTTCTTCTTCTTGGTATGTTTCTCATGACAGGCGAGCTGCCACTGAACATGCTTGTGAAATCCGAAACGCTTGGCCATGTCATCTAAGTTCTGAACTTCTTCAAAGCAACGCAAGAAGACTGAGTAAGCTTTCTCCAGCGGCAGCAAGCTGCGGATTTCGGGAACCCGCAGTGCACAGGCCACATATGGCCCACTCACCTTCCTATAATGCACCATTCTGTGGACAATGCTGTGATCCCCCTCCTGGATCCGCTCCACTGTGGGAACAAACTTTAGTTCATACACCAAGGTTTTCAAGTTTTCGAGGCTGCTGAGATCCTGGCCTGCAACAAATGCTTCGAGTTCAAGACGCGTCTGTGAACCCTCGCAAAGATGCTTCCAAGTGATTCTGTGGTGCAGATTCTCAGCCTGGGGTGCATCACGAAATAATTGCAAACAAGCGGACGCGCATTGCCTGGACCTGGCAGGGTTGGGGTGGGCAATGCCACATAACTTCCATGGCAAAACGTTCCAACATTGGAGTTTCTGAGCCACGTAACCTTGCATAGCAGCAGTGCAACGTGACACATCTTCCAGCACCCCTTCCACGTCTGCAAACTCCATGTCCATGTCGAGACCGGCTTGGCGAATGTCATTTGTC